GAGACCATGTATTTTTCATTTGTGACCACTAACCATGAAAACTAATGAATCAATCGTTACCAAATTTTAACTGTAGCATCTTTATGACCCCCGGAATGTTTACCACTAATCAAACCTGCAGATTTTTTATTAATTAAATAAAACTACAATGGATTTTTCATCTAGGGTTAAGGCTTTTATGTCCAACAGATGGTGCTACGAGTATGACACCCTAAGTTCGCTTTTCTGTGAGGATGAACTAAAGCAGATCATCTTCTATCTATTTATATAAATAAAAATGTAATGTTCATTTGTTCCTACCTATTCCTTTGAAATTTTCACACAACTTTCACACATTCTAATACGCACATGTTTTCATATAATATACATGTCAAAATTCCCCCCACTGGGGGAGATGAACAGGATTAAGGCTTACCGTGAAGAACTCTGCTTCTATTTATACTATTTTAGATGCGGTTTTTTGCGTTTTTGATTGCATTTTAATGGGGTGTGTCAACAGAATATACACTAAAAAAAGGATTTTTCAATATTTCCCCTGTGGGGGAGAAAAACAGGATNTTTAATTCTTTCGGAGGACATTTGCAGTTTAAACCAAATAATTTTTTAATAAATTTATTTTCAATCAATCAAATAGTTCAAATGATTTAAATTTTAAATAAAAAGTAAGTTATTTTTATTGTGTAAACAATTCTCAGCATTGCATTCATATTGTTAAACACTGATATATAAATTGTGCTATAAAACAAACCAACCTCAGCAACAGCAAATGAAAGTATTTCTTATTAAAGATAGAATTAAAAAGATAGTTACTATCTTTCAAGCAAAACTTTTCTTTAGACGCTTCATAAGCAGTTTTGATTTCTGCTTTCATTTATTTATATATATATGTGTGTGTGTGTATATACAGTGAAAACTGCTTATGCGACCACCTGCATTTGACGGGCACCTGTCAAAACGGGCAAAAATTTCTGGCACAGAATAGTTTATTCATAGAGTTTTCGTATAAGTTACCTGTATTAAACGACCACCTGTGTAACGCAACCGCGGGCATAGATTTTTGGTCCGAAACAACACANCTCTGCTTCTATTTATACTATTTTAGATGCGGTTTTTTGCGTTTTTGATTGCATTTTAATAGGGTGTGTCAACAGAATATACACTAAAAAAAGGATTTTTCAATATTTCCCCTGTGGGGGAGAAAAACAGGATTAAGGCTTACCTTGAAGAACTTGGCATCTATTATACTATTTTAGATGTGGGTTTTTGCGTTTTTGATTGCGTTTTAATAGGGTACACCAAGAGAATGTACACTAAGAAGAAATTTTTCGAAAAATTCCCCCTCACACAGAAGTGTTATACATTTATAATAGATACGTTTTGAGCCACAACAATGCGTGGCGGGGTCTGCTAGTGAGATATATTAGAAAGAAATAATTTATATTGTTCTTTTATGAAAATTTACTTCCNCGAAAGAAATGCAAACTGTTGTCGTTAGAAGATCGTGTTAAAATTATCAGAGAAAGTGAAAATGATTTATCACAACGGCAATTAGTGGCGAAGTTTAACTGGGAAAACGAAATTTATTTTACCGTACACCTACAGTATTTTCCTTAGGGGGTATAAAATATTGTACACTATACAATTAATCGGTTGATCTCATCGTTTGATAAAATTTATTTTATTTATTTATTTATTTTTGAAGCTTATATACAGTACTGTACATGTGAGATAAATAGTTTCTGTATCAACCTACCTTATTTTCTACGATATTTTTAGAAAAATAATATCCAAGTAATTTTCGCAAGCAAAATATTCAAACAACAATAAACGCATTAATGCAAAAATTAGTTTTACAGGCAACCNTTTTTTTGGAAATATTATACATCAATCAATAAAATATTAAAACTCTTTAAAATATTTTAAATTATAATACAGTAACAAAATTTAAAGAATATTGAGAAATATGATAATTATGTTGTTTCAAGTAAAGAAATAAATCTGTGGTTAATCTGCATTTAAGGGATGGCTATGTAATTCATGCACGTGCACAAATCAAATAAATGTTGATTTTTAAGCATATTTGAATACAATATTAAGTTTAATTATAATTTGTGAAATATCACATTGGAAAATTAATTACAGTAAATAAAATTATTTGATTTTCTTTTATTTCAAGTATTTTTTAAGCTATAAGTAGATACTTATAAAAAGTCATTGGAGTAGAACAGGGGTCAGCAGTTTGTCAAATGAGAAGAGCCAAATTGTCATGGAAACAGGATAACAAAAGTACCAGAGAGCCACATATATGTAATATACATATGTATAATAATTATAATAAATGAATACTAATAATTATACTATTAATGTAAATAAAAATTTATATTGTTAATTTGAATGTGCGAAATACGATACATGGACGGACGGACAGACATGCGTTCAATGGGTTATATATATATATGCTTCAAATGCTACCACTCGCATGCAACTCATATTGATCAATGCAAGTGTGGTCATGTGTGGACAGGCTAAAGCAGGGGTCGCCAAACTTTTTTAACTGTCGACCCCCAACCACTTTCCAAAACCTCACATTGACCCCCACCGTAAAGTTTTATTATAAGTGTAAGTGTATGAGCAAAATAAAATACGTTGTGATCTCTGATATCTGTATAAGAAAAAAAAAACAAGGTTGTAACCCATTGCCACATCGACCCCCTAATCGACCCCCTAGCCGCATCNTGTTACATCATTTTATTAATTAATGTAATATACTTTGTTTAAACAATGCATAAACAATACAGTTTACTATACAATACTTCAAAAATGAAGATGAATCATTGTTACTTGCTGATTGAGACCTTTCCATTACATAATGTTTTTGTAAACACTCTAACCTCCTTATAACACATTGTGACAATTACCTGCATACTCACCTACCCATATCTGAGTTATATAATTCATGGACACTCCATATAGTATAAAGCAAAATTGTATAAATTATCAAATTCAAATAAAAATAATCAAATTTTTTGCAATTTTGTATATTAATTTAAGTTTAGAAATAAACTGAATAAGAAATTTTAAGTGTAATTTTTAAAGAAAAGATATTTTAATTCTTTATTAATTATTACTTATTCATATTTAAAATGCCAATGCCAACACCAATATCAATTTTACTTACACCAAACTGTAACTGCATTTTTGAAAAGTTGCTAATAGATACAGGAAAATAAATGACAGTATTTTTAGATGCAGAAATTGAATCAGATATATCTTCAGTTTGTGGAAATGTTTTTACTTCGTGCACTTTTTCAAAATTTTCAATTAGATATTCTAATTTTTCATCATTCACTAATTTGTGAGAATTCTAAAAATTAAAAGTTTATGTGAATTTATATAAAAGTTAGAAATATTTAAGAATAAAATATGATTTGAATTTTCACAAACCTCTACACATCTGAATATATTATTTGCAAGTGTGGATAATATATTTAAATATGTTATTTCATCTTGCATATTTAACCAAATCTTATATAAAAGAATAAATGATGGCTGAAAATAAATATTATTAATAAATCAAATCTGATAATTACTTACTACCAATAAATGAGCTAAGAGATACCAAACATTGTTGAATAGGCTCAGCAGTTGCAGTTATGATCTGATGAAGATGAAACATGGTATTTTCCAACTCTTCAGAAAATTCTTGAATATCATCTAGGGTTAAGGCTTTTATGTCCAACAGATGGCACTACGAGTATGACACCCTAAGTTTGCTTTTCTGTGAGGATGAACTAAAGCAGATCATCTTCTATCTATTTATATAAATAAAAATGTAATGTTCATTTGTTCCTACCTATTCCTTTGAAATTTTCACACAACTTTCACACATTCTAATACGCACATGTTTTCATATAATATACATGTCAAAATTCCCCCCACTGGGGGAGATGAACAGGATTAAGGCTTACCGTGAAGAACTCTGCTTCTATTTATACTATTTTAGATGCGGTTTTTTGCGTTTTTGATTGCATTTTAATAGGGTGTGTCAACAGAATATACACTAAAAAAAGGATTTTTCAATATTTCCCCTGTGGGGGAGAAAAACAGGATTAAGGCTTACCTTGAAGAACTTGGCATCTATTATACTATTTTAGATGTGGGTTTTTGCGTTTTTGATTGCGTTTTAATAGGGTACACCAAGAGAATGTACACTAAGAAGAAATTTTTCGAAAAATTCCCCCTCACACAGAAGTGTTATACATTTATAATAGATACGTTTTGAGCCACAACAATGCGTGGCGGGGTCTGCTAGTGAGATATATTAGAAAGAAATAATTTATATTGTTCTTTTATGAAAATTTACTTCCAATAATAAATATAAACAAAATTATAATTTTTTTCTTAGAAATTATTGTTTGTAAATATATTATTAAGCTTTGCATAATTTTTATAAATTATTTGCATAAAAGTGGTGTTCCTAGTCAAAAGTTTTATAGCAATAAGGCAAATTAAGCAATTCATTTTTGTAGAATATATTTAAATTCTTATATTCATACAATACATAAAATTGATAAAATATAACAACTCTGATTTGTTGTGTCCCTACAGCCAGTTGTATATTTTCCTGAATTTTAATAAATTATAAAGGTTACTGAAATATTTTATTTTCCAAAAGTATTATATAGAATTGAAAATTTACTTAAAGATATTTTAATAAATTTAATACTCATATTATTATTCACAGAATAATAATATGATTCACAGAATAATATTATTATTCACAGAATAATAATATGAGTATTAAAAATAATACAACGTTGTTAATCTCTTAATAATTTCAATTTAGTATTGTATTGATAGTTATTTTGTATATCAATGTTATTAATAATTAATTCTTAATATTTATTGTTATAAGATTAAAATAGTTAATTTTTAAATATTTATTATTGATCTTTTGTTATAGTGTTGTGTATTTTTTCATAAAATATATTTTTGTTTAGAAATTCTGAGCCATCAAATTATAAACTGTCATATAAACAATCATATGGATATGCACAACAGAATCCTTCACAATCTGTTTCACGGAATTATCAAACACAATCAGCTGGACCACCTCAAAGTTTAGCATCTCAGTCAAGATACAGTCAACAGATTCAAACGCACAGAACTAATATTCCTCCAGAATATGTCACACAAAATATTCAAAGACCTCATCCTCCACCACCTGGGTTACAACCTAATTATTCTGTTCAACCACCTCCTCCAGGTAATAAAAAATAATTGTACTATTTTTTATATTAAATAATTTAATATATATGTATATAATAATCTGTGTATTTGATTTGAAAGCATAATCTCTGAATGCTTAATTACGTGTGTCAAAATTTTTGAACTTTTATGTAAAAAATATTACTTAAATGAAATCTTAGTAAATTTAGCAATTACATTCCAGGATTTAGTAATTTAAAGAAAATCACATATTAGAATAATAAAAAAATTTTTAATATTGTCCAAAGTATGAGTAATTGTTTAAAATGATTACATTTTTGTATTCACTCATTAAGTTGTCAAAAACATTTAAAAAGTGATTTGAATTTTCCACTATCAAGTTTTTTGTCATGTTGTTTTAATATTTTTTCTGTCTTTAAACCTTGTTCTTTACAGTATTGATTTGACTGTAGAAAAACAAGAAATAACTCAGGAGATTGATAATTATCAAGGAATACATAAGCTGGTTTTGTTTTGCTCTGCCAAATACTTTACCATACAGTACAATTTACATGAGATCAGATGGGATAACAGCTTTAATAATTGCATAATTATGATAAAAATCAATATTTTTTCAGAAAATTATACTTTGTTTTATATATTTTTTAAGGATTAAAAAAATTCATATTATTGTAATACATAGAAAAGTATTTTATATTTAAAAATTAAATTTAAAACTATTAATAATTTTTAGAAATGTAATTTTAGTAAAAATAAAAAAGTAAATGTTCATTATTAAAAATTTAATGATTTATTCAGTTATAATAATTATCAAAAATTTAATATCAGTTTAATTTGTATTTAGGTTCTTCTCCATTGAACATGCATGGCTTATCTGTGCCTCCTTCCCAACCACCACCACCTGGTGTTGGTCCCATTATGCTAACAGGTCCTCCATCTCACAATTCTATATATCCATATTCACATGATGCATTCTACCGAGAAACTCGGCGATTGAAAGACAGGTAAATTTAATTATTATAAAAGTAATTAAAACAACGCTTCTTTTTTTAAAGTACATTTTGAGAATTATTATAAAACTACATAATTTATCTTTATATCTAACTTATGTTGAATTATTTGTATATGTACATAATAAGTATAGATGAGCATAATTAAAGTACAATATGGTTGCAGTAATCTAAATCCCTAATTGAGCTCCTTGTGATTCAAACAGCCTCTGTCATATATCTAACTAAAAAAAAAAATGTACTTATCCTAAATGTTACATATGCTATCTACATGTAAACTATAAACATAAGCACATGTTTTATATAATACTACTTATTCCTTCTGTGACTCTATGGATATGTATTCTAAAAATCTGCATAGATTTCAGTGTTTAAACTACATCATTTGTTTCATTCTACCACTTCATTATGATTGTCTTCACAGAGTTTGTCTTCATAGCAGAAGTAATTTTAGTGTCTTTGGTCTGATGAAAGATTCTTCAACTGAAGAAAAGTTTGTCATCTTGTTTCATATGCAGCACATGGAATTGACTTTCAGAAATGACTTCTGCTTATTCTTTAGAATTATAACTGTTGAGAAAAAGAGATTTTTTTTCAGTTAATGCAAAATCCCTGTTGTAGGAGAAAAAGCTATAGGCTATTGGCAGGAACTTTTCAAATCAAATACTGAAAAGTCATGACAAGGATCTGATTGTTGTTCTGACCAACAAATCAATCAGACCATATACTAAAAATGCAAAATATATTTTTTTCTGGAGATTGAAAACATGATCTAATAAGAATAATCATAATACAATAATTGGATTTATTTTATTTTATTTTTTTTATTGATTAATTAACTTGATCACTTTGCAGTTTTCATCATTAACTTTTATTCAGTTAATGATGAAAAATGCCAAGTGGTCGAGTGATTGCACTACATTGTGTTTGAACAAAGGAAAAAAATACCAACACAGTTTCAAGAATGTTAAACATGAAAGACATCATTTAATGTCAATGTAGATTATAAACAAACTTGACCTGTTTTTAGTGACCACTTTAAATTTATATAGCACCCTCTATAATTTGTTAAAATTGCCCAATTGTATGTTTTTGAACTGCTTGATGATAGAAAATGCTTCTTACAATTTTACTTTGCAAATGTTTATTTTTTATTACTCATTTTTACCCATTACCAGTGATAAGGATTAAGCCTCCCTCCCAATACCACCTATCATCATTAACACTGCTGTTACTTATTGATTCACCAAAAATTGATTAAATAATTATCTTGTTTGTTTTTATTAATCTTTCTTAAATATATGTAAAACTCGCATTTATTTTAATGTTTAATATTAAGTGTTTTGGATCTTAGAAGTTTTATGATGTTTTTTGAGAGCAGATATATACCCTACAAACTTAAATCTTGTTTATATCAATTAGCCTGTGATAAAATCGGTTTTATTGTACCAAAGTGTTGTTTCAGTTAGTCTCAGTTTCTAAGAATCTATCAATAACATTAAGTGAGGACTTGCTGTATATAAATATTTATGTATGAAAATCAAATATTTAATAATTCAAAGCAATTATTTTCATCTGATGGTACAAAAATATAACTTTTGGAATAGGATAATTGTTTATACACGTTAAACAAAAAACACGTGCATTACTCAGAATTTGCTTGTTTCATGGTATATGGCAATACACTACCAGAGTAATTTGTCAAGAATGTCCCTCCTGGGAAGATTTTTTATAGGAAATTAGGTCCTATTTAGATGCTACACATTTGAAGAAAACCCAGAAAACTTGATATGATCACTCCGGTGTTAACTCAAGTTCACACCCGAATGATTACCAACTGCCAGTGTTCAGTGGTTTTATTCACTTGGCCATTGGTGGACATGAATTACTAGAGAGAAATGTAAAATTGAATTACAAATTTTGTATTGTCAATAAAGAAAAACCATTGTTATTTATGTTAAAAATTTTGAGTATGAATGTGCTTCACTTTATGAAAGACTTCAATAATTAGAAAATAAATTAGATTAAGTTTTTTAATTAAAATTGAAAAGATTAATTTGAAACTTTTCAATTCATTTTATAAATAAATGTATTGATATAAGAAAAAATGCCATAATTTCTACTTATTGCTGACTATGGCATATTTGATGATATAGAACTCTTAATTCTCACTAAAATAAAAAGATTTTTGCTAATCAGGATCAATTAGTAGTGCCATTATTTAATTAAACAAAATTAAACATACGTTTTACCAAAATATTTGATTTTTATTTCTTATGAAAATATATGTTAAATATGATGATATTTAATTATTAAATATTTTTGGCAAATGACTGAATATTTGCCTTGATTTGTAGCTTTGAAGTAAAATATTGTTAAACATTAAAAATTAATATTATTGGTAATTATATTTAAAATAAGTAATATAAATGGAAATTTCTGTGTTTAGGAATGCAACATAATAATAATAATAATAATTCATTTTTTCAGAAACAGAATAGGAGATCCTATGGATGATTTTGCTCGTGAGTTATTAGAATACAGACGGGAACAACAGCATAGACCACACTCTAGATATCATTCAAGATCGCGTTCGTCGTCGTCTCATTCTTATAATAGTTCAAAATCATGGCCACATTCTGGATCACGATCTATATCTCATTCTTGTTCAAGGTCACGTTCTCGTTCATTTAGTAGTCGATCTAGATCTCGCTCAAGATTACGTTCTAGATCTAGATCATTTTCTAGATCATCTCATTCAAGATCAAGAAGCATAAGTAGATCTAGATCTAGGTCTAGAGGAAGAACTTCCCCACACCAACGTTCTAGATCAAATTCTCCGAAAAATTTTGTTAGATATATTCCAAGGTCGCCCTATCATCAAAAGAAGGATTATGCTACAAATTTTTACAATCCAACATACCCTGCCTCATATACAGGTTCCATTCCACATCACAATATTCCTATAGAACACTATGCTGATAGGTCAAGATATTATCGCGATCAATATAGAGTTTACGAGGAATATCACAATCCATATAATAGTCCTAGATACGAACAACATGACCAGCGGTATGATAATAAATATATGCATGAGTATCCGAGATTCGATGAGATTCAGCACAGGGCAAGAAGTCGCGAATTAGAAAAATCCGAAAGACCAAGAATTAGCGAAAATACTTACAGAAGAGAGAATGCATCAAAATCAAATACAGAAAAGAAGATAAAAGAAAGTGAATCAAAAGAGAATGCAGATAATTTTGCTAAAAATAAAAAGAAGGATGAAAAAGTTAAACATAAGAAACATCATCATAAAAACCGCGAAAATAAAAAAGAGGTTAAACACGAAGTGGAGCATAAGAAGAGAGAACTAGTGGATGATTCAAATAAGCCTGAGCTGATTGATACGCAAATAAAAACTGTAACTGAAACAATGGAAGAACAAAAAGCAGTTCCGGTTCATGAAGTTAAGGAAAAAAAGCATAAACACAAAAAGAAAAAAGACAGTGAAGAAAAGAAAAAGAAAAAAGTAACTCATAATCCGAATGAACCGGAAAAACCCACCAAAACTAAAAAGAAAAAAGCAAAAAAAGAAAATGAAAAAACTCATCAGAAATCCCAGTCAGTGGAAAAATCAGAAAAAATTCCTATAAACGAAGATTTAAGTAATAAAGTTAACATTCAGAATGAAATCGTTTTAGAAGAAAATGTTTCTGTTCCAAAAGAATCCGATGTCTTAAAACAAAAAGTTAATATCGAAGAAGTTAAACCAATAGCATTAATGAAAGATGTTCTTCCTCCATTAGAACAAATTATAGAAGAAAAACCTGAAATTAAGCCTACTTTTGAACCTATTGAAGAACCGAAAATTATCTTAATGGATAATGCTGATGAAAATGTTTATAAAAACGAAAACGAGACAACTGTAGAAAATACTGATGAAAAAGTGTTGTCACCCGAACAAATAGAATTATCTCCTAGAGAACCGGAACATCGCGATGTGATTCCAACTGTTAGTGAAGCAAGTGCTCCAGAAATAAGTTTTGAATTACCCGAGATATCTAAATGGGAAAGGGAAGAGTTCGAAGAAGAAGAAAAATCTTCAAATGATGATTCCAATTCTTTGCAAAAAGAGATGAGATCTTCGCTGTCTTCTGATATTATTCAAAGAGCAGAAAAGGCAATTTTACAAAAAGCCCTTAAGACTGCAATTGTAGGTCCTCCAGTTTCCAGAGAGAAGCATACTTACAGAGGAATGGATCGAAAAACAGAAAAATCATCAAGAGTCGCAGAAGCGCCTAAAGATACTGTCCTAGTCGTATCCAGTATGAAAGATAAAGAAAAAAGTAAAGAACAATCAATAGACAAAGAAACAAAATCAAAAGATAAGTCTGAAGAAGCTTCGCTTCAGATCACTATATCTGCAGAAAAGAACAAACGATCAGTGCAAACGACTAAAGTGAAAAGCAGTAGTTCCAAAGACAAATTATCAGATAATTCTCAGATTAAGAAATTAAAATTAGACAGATCCAAATTTTTAGAAAAGAGTAAAAATGAAGCATCATTAAAACATTTTATTAACGAAGGAATGACAGCCGAAAAAGTATTCTCAAACGATAGTTCGAAAGAATTTAGCAGCAAAAGTCTTCCTAGAAGAAAAGATAAAATTATTATATGTAAAATAGAAAAGGATAGGAGATTTAATTTAGAAAATGATCAAGAAAAACAAAGTAGTCACGAAGAAGAAAGTGATTCTAGATCAAGAAACGTTTCTAGTAAAAAATCCCCCAGAAGATCAAAACCTGCCGACAGTAATTCATTTTTCACAAAACGAACATACGAACATAATGATCATAAACGTGAGATAAGTGATAGTTCGGAAAGGGAATCGAAATCAAGAGAATCGCACGTCGATCACGACAGTGAGAAACGGTCATCTCATTCTAAACGAGTAATTAATTTAGATGAAAAAATAAGAAGAAAAGAAGAAGTAGAAAGGTCATCGTCGAGAGATTATAAAGATAACCCTGTTTCATATCACAGAGAGAGAGAAAAATATCGAGAAGAACCATCTAACGTTAATGTAGAAAAAGAAGAAAGATCGCGCTCTAGAAGTTTAGATTCTGGTCAAAGCATCGATAATAAACAACTCCACTCTTCCACACAAGATAGAAGCGACGATAGAAAGAAAAGAGTTCCGAAAAGAAGGATAAGTAGCCATAGCTCCACTGCTGAAATAAAACAGAAAGAAAAGGCTGTATTTAGTGAACGAATGAAAGCACCAAAGCATTCAAATATCGATAGTAGAGGTTTCCAAGAACCACATGTTAGAAACCGAAAGGAATCGCTACACGACGAATCGAAATTTGAGCCTAATTACGACGAAACTAGTGAATCCGAACAAAGTAGTGACACGGAGGCAAAAATTAGGAGATCCAGGCATAACGAAGAGAAATCAAGGAAACATGTAGATCAAATTCTCGTTACGAGAACAAGTGATAATGAAATAGAAAGAGAGAAAGCGAGACAAGCTGCTTTCAGACACGAACTTCATAGAGATAAAGTAGAGGTGAAGAAAAGAGAAAGGTCTGTTAGTCCACAGAGTTCTTCGGGAAGTTCGCCGTGTAGCAACTTTTCCGATGTCGATAAATCTTCCGCGAAAAGACACAAAAGCGAAACACCCGATTCAGACTTAAAATTAAGACATAGGAAATCTAAACACAAAAAGCACAAAAAACATAAGCGGAAACATAAGAAAAGGAAAAGTCATAAATACAGAGAGAGATGATCTTTTTCTTAAAAATGCCGTCTTAAAAATACTTACATTATAATGCGTGATTTTTGACACGTTACACGGAAAAAGAATCGACACACATATTGGTTGTGTTACACAAGTTGTGTATGAGTTGAATTTCTGCCGATATGCGAGTCTAAAAGATTCTCTAACATTAATATTCTTTTAGTAATATACAAAATTATATGTACAAAACATAGTTTACGTGGCCATTAATTTCTCATGAAAATTGTAAGTGACTTTGATAAATGAAATCGTCTTGCGAGTGAATAAATGCAGTATTTTGTTCGGTTGAATTTTATATATGTGTAGTATATATAAAATTCATTTCATTTGTAAAGGCAGCAGGTTGGCATATGGGAATGCCAAATGCATTCTTATTAATATTGTATTGTAGAAAATTGTGTAAATAAATGTTTTGACAAAAAACAAAAAAATCGTCATTTTATTATTTGATCTGTTGAAATAAATTTTTTTTTTTTTTATAAACTGACTAAAACCACTTTCAATGGTTCATTTGAATTTTTAAATTAGTAATGTAAATTTCAAAAGACAAAAATACCTTTTTTAAATTCATTGCTTAATTAAATTTATTTAATATTACTGAAATAATTTTTAGCTGACTGTCATATATATAACAAGTGAAAGTCGTATATGTTTTTTTGTATTACGTACAGTACATGATTTCAATAAACTGATATTTGCAAGTTAATGCAAAGAATAATAAATAAAATACATATTCGTGAAGATATTTCGTTCAAAATTACGATATTCATGAATGTTCGAGAAACTATATGAAAACCAATGTAAAAAATGAGTTGGATATATGGAGTTAAAAGTGGATTTTACGTTTTTGTATATGATAACACACTTTAATTACAAAAGATGTGCCAACTTTTCAAATATATAGAATTTAATTCTTTCGGAGGACATTTGCAGTTTAAACCAAATAATTTTTTAATAAATTTATTTTCAATCAATCAAATAGTTCAAATGATTTAAATTTTAAATAAAAAGTAAGTTATTTTTATTGTGTAAACAATTCTCAGCATTGCATTCATATTGTTAAACACTGATATATAAATTGTGCTATAAAACAAACCAACCTCAGCAACAGCAAATGAAAGTATTTCTTATTAAAGATAGAATTAAAAAGATAGTTACTATCTTTCAAGCAAAACTTTTCTTTAGACGCTTCATAAGCAGTTTTGATTTCTGCTTTCATTTATTTATATATATATGTGTGTGTGTGTATATACAGTGAAAACTGCTTATGCGACCACCTGCATTTGACGGGCACCTGTCAAAACGGGCAAAAATTTCTGGCACAGAATAGTTTATTCATAGAGTTTTCGTATAAGTTACCTGTATTAAACGACCACCTGTGTAACGCAACCGCGGGCATAGATTTTTGGTCCGAAACAACACACAACACCTGTAATAAGCGACCACTTTCGCGAGTGTATCTGGTCTAAACTATTGTTCGAACCCATCTCAATAACGTTTCCCCCTCCTAACATAATGAATTAGTGTAAACTCTCGTTCGAACCCATCTTGGGCACTTCTCCCACCTTTGAAATTAGGTGCTGGTGTTAATAAATTAGTCTAGCAAGAAAGAAATTCATTTCAGTTTGTTTGAAAATGTCGGAAAAACGAAAGAAATGCAAACTGTTGTCGTTAGAAGATCGTGTTAAAATTATCAGAGAAAGTGAAAATGATTTATCACAACGGCAATTAGTGGCGAAGTTTAACTGGGAAAACGAAATTTATTTTACCGTACACCTACAGTATTTTCCTTAGGGGGTATAAAATATTGTACACTATACAATTAATCGGTTGATCTCATCGTTTGATAAAATTTATTTTATTTATTTATTTATTTTTGAAGCTTATATACAGTACTGTACATGTGCGATAAATAGTTTCTGTATGAACCTACCTTATTTCCACGATATTTTTAGAAAAATAATATCCAAATAATTTTCGCA